ATAATAATAATAATAATAATAATAATAATAATAATAATAATAATAATAGTAATAATAATAATAATAATAATAATAATAATAATAATAATAATAATAATAATAATAATAATAATAATAATAATAATAACTATAGCGCATTCCGCAAAAAAGACTCAATGCGCTTTACAAAAAGAAAAGAATACAAGCAGTAAATAATTTTGACTTAATCTACGGTACTTAGAGTAAAACAGTTCCCAAAAAGCATTTGCGATATCGGTATAAGTATCCAGAACAGGGCTCCACCCACCGATGTCGAAAACCCGGGTTCACACAGGCACTCCGTTAGGCAGTATACTCCTGTAGCTTCCACCTCAGAATACTGTTTTTATATTGTATTAGAGAGAGCAAAAAAGAAAACACTGTTATAAATGGAAATAAAAGAAGGAATAAAAAGTCTACATATTAAGCAGTGGAAACTGATGTATACTGTAACAAGGTGTGTCCGTGAGAATTTTTTAAAAGGAATACAATTTATCGTAAATTAATAAAACTTCTTAAAAATAATATGTGATGCCTAGATAAATTAAAACCTATACCAAGTCCAGGCAAAGACAAATTAAGAAAGAGAGAATAGACCATTATCAAAGATATGCATATTAAAATATGACGTCATTTTAAATATTTTTAATATTTATAAACTGGTAATTAAACTTGTATGTTAACACAATTTGCGTTAAATCTATGTTAAACACAAAATTACCACTAAATGCATGAACAATTTTCGCCCTCGACTTTATATACACACGGTAGACAAAATAAAAATCCACTGAACTCCGCAGAATCGGGTTCTTTCTCAACATCGCCTTCCCTATTACCACTGCAACCGTAGTTCGAGTCTCACTGACGGACTTGGTTTTTCATATTTATTGTTTGACTTCATAATATTCTGTAGTATCATTTTATTGTTGTTTTTCATGTATTTTTGACTTTATATTTTTTATTTTTTGGTAATTTCAACTTCTTCTCATTATGCCAATGAGGAATAACCCCTGGTTCTGTTTTACAAACGTAACACAAATACTTAAATAATTTTCGCCTTTGACTTAACCTTAAGCAAAAAAAAAAACAAAACAAAAACAAAACAAAAAAAACAAAAAAAAACCTAAAGATGCACTGATCACCACTTTGCTGGGTTCTTTACCGTAATGGTAAAACCGCTTTACATCACCCTTCCTATTACCACTAGTCATAGTTCGAGTCTCATTGACGCCAAGTAGGTTTTTATATTTTTTACTTCATAATTTTCTTTAATATGATTTTTATTCTTGTTTTTCATGTGTTCAATTTATACTTTTAAAATGATTTTTTACATTATCTGGAAATGTCAAAATCAGTTCTCATTATGACGATGGGGAAAGGTGTATGATCTGTTTTACAAACAGACATAGTAAGTCTAGTAGTTCTACGTTCACGTCATAGGTCTAGGGATTTAAACGTCATCTTTAATAATGATGTCCCAGATGGATTATTGTCAAATGCAACCAATTAGTTGACAAATTTTAGATAATGTATTTGTTATGTTAAGATATAATTATATTAATGAAATTAAAATCAATTTAACATATTTAGCTACAAAAAAATCAATATTGATTGAGGATGAGTTATCAAGCTAGAGGCTAATTAAGCCACATGATTACCTGAATCAAAGGTGGCGCCAGGATTTTGAAGATGGGCGTAGTCGCTCATAATATTTCAGAAGTGGTTGATTGGAGTCTGCAAGTATGTAAGAAATAAATATAACTTTTTTCTCACCTACTAATTGTGTTTTTTCTTCCCTGAGGAGGGTGGTGCTCTCCCATAAGGGGTGGGGTTTCCCAGCGCCACCCCTGCTTAAAGTGTCCCTTCGCGTTAGAAATTAATAACTCTAATAACAATACTAATAATAATAATAATAATAATAATAATAATAATAATAATAATAATAATAATATAATAATAATAATAACAATAATAATAATAATAATAATAATAATAATAATAATAATAATAATAATAATAATAATAATAATAATAATAATAATAATAATAATAATAATAATAATAATACCTGAATTGAACATAATAGATAGACCTTGGTGATGATGATTGCTTGATGATGATGGTGGTGATGGTAATAATCGCAACAGCGAATGTCACCGCAATAAAGATAACAACAACGATAATAATTCTAATAATAATGATAATAATGTGACCATAAGAACGGTAATAATATTGATAATAATAAAATAATAAGCAATTAGTAGAGTTGCGTATCATACACTAGTTGAAATTATACGAAGGTTAGATTAGTACATAAAAAAAACAACTTCCTGCCTTAATCTAACCTAAGTATCAAAATTTCGTCTGTGATAACACTATAATTGCTTTATAAATCAATCGCCGATTTTTAATGTTAGGTTTGTAATAAAACTGTTGTAGCAGTCATCGGTTGCTATTAGTAATATGATCACTATGTATGTGCGTATTGCTCTGCGTATCCAGATTGTTGCTGCAGTATGCGCTAACACACATCACCAGTTGACGTTACACAGTGTACGATACAATGAATAAATATTTGATTGTGTTTAAAGAACTTGTCTCGAGTTTAATATTTTCATAGACATTCGTAAAAATAAATAAACATTTCTTATAGTGTTTTGAGGGAATACAGCATTCACTTTAGTGGTCGGTGCAGACAGGTTAAATAATATGATGATTTTATCTAGGTAGGCAGTAGGCTGGGCTACGATCAGGCCTCAGTGGCCTCTTTGAAGAAATTCGTTGCTTAAGTCTTTATAGGTCTAGCATATTTTTATGAAATGCTCAGTTACTTTATTTTCTTAATAATAATCAACATTGTTTTACGAAAATCTTTTTTTCAATTACTACTTGTCAACACCGACGATTAGGTGAGTGCCTGCCTTTCTTCCCGCATGAGCGCGTCGTAACTGCTAGGTGTAAAAATACTAGCCTAGAATTCACTGTGGTGCACGATATGGCGATACATACAAGTTGAATTGGACTTTTGCACACAAAGAGAAATAAAACAGATTAAGCCAACTGTGCACTAATGAAGAATTAGTGCACAGTTGTGGATAGGAAATAGGGAGTTACCATGATGACGTCACGATTGACGTCATTATTATTATTATTATTATAACAATAATAGAAATAAGAACAGTTATAATAATTAGTATTATTAAAATATTAATAATAAGAATAATATTATGTTGTAAAAATGTCTATCTGAATGACTTCCTAATGAGTTTATAGAAAACAAATGCTACTGCTTGTTAATTCTTTTTCAATTTGTGCTTTGGAGATATATTTTGCTCTGTAAAATTTATCGGAATTGTTCGTTAGTGCACTATCGGCAAATTCAATGGTGTATTTCCTGCAGTTCGAAATCTGATATTGTACATTATTTATAGTTGAAACCGCCAATTAAACGTCTGCCAGCTGCCTTGTACTTCTATTGGTTCAGTAATTTTTGTGTATACATATTTGAATATTGAGAGCGTGTTACTTTTAAATATTGATGCTTAGTGGTATAGTTGACGCGTTGGTGCGTGTACAAGGCTCCACAGAGGAGAAGCCATAGAGGCTTAATCCAATAAAACGTGTCTATTGAAGGTATTACCGGGTCATTTACAGAAACGTTTTCACGCAATTTGACTTGTACATCTGACACTTACAACATCGCTTCGCCAATTAATGTGCGTGACATCCGCTATATAAACCAACTGAGTGTTAATTTTTGGAATCCGAGGCAATTGATTTCACAACGATACTTGCTTACCAGTTTTAATGGAATATGTCATCGAACAAACTCTAAGTCAAATAATTGTATACGAAACCTATTCTGTTTACTGATCGACACCGTACTGCAAAATTTAAGCAATTTGGTGATTTAATGTCATTTTCTGAACGATTTTCAGCATTTTATGTGATCGAATTTTAATGATTGTTAGCAAAATTAGTATAGCGATTCAAGAAAAACTGTCTTGCTTTTAAAGATTATAGCAGTTTATCAATAGCAGGAAACATTCCATTTGTAAGTATTCTCATGTTATTACTATATTTCATTTATTATTATTATCATTATTATTATTATTATTATTATCAATATTAATAATAATAATAATTATTATTATTATTATTAATAGTTATTTTTTATCATTAATAACAATAATGATGATAATAATAATAAGGATAGTTATTATCATTATTGAGTACAACAACTATATTGTATTGTTTATTGTTGATATATTAATTTTGTCAACACGTCCGAACAAACTCTATCAAAAACGTTATATAAATATTTATATGCATCATATGGTCAGCTTGCAACAACATATTGGAACATCAATTCATTATTGGAATGATGTGTGGGGTTGAATGTATATTAGGCGTATTAAAAATGAGTGGGTATGTACGGTGTGTGCTTGGGTGTCTTGTGTTAGCTTATTCCTTGTTCATCAATGTATTATTGAAAAAAAAAATACAAATACAAATTATGTAATCATCATGATTTATATAGGTATTTTTTTTTCGAATTGACGCCTTTAATAGTTGTTTCAAAACTTAACATAACAGCGTATAATTTTGATGAGGGTCCAAAATCATAAGCTTCAGTGAGGGTCTCAAATGTCTCCAGTTTCGACTGGATGAACCACACTCACAAAACACTGTTGAAATGAATAAACTATATAAATACAATGAATAGTGCCACGCGCATACAAACAAAAAATAAATATAAATATCTGTATGATATCTATTGTTTAATTAACAATAGATATCATACAGAGGAAATCAATTTCTTTTGTTGCAAGCTCGACTTGTGCAGGGAATACTTCTAAAAATTAAAAAATCCTAATCACCGATTAAATTATTTTTATCTAAGCTTATCAGTGTAAAAATTCCAGGTTAATTTGTCATCAATGTAAATTAAGATATTTATATTCATTTACCACTTTGCAATTGATCACTAGAAGTTTATGATAAATTAAATAATTATTGCATTGGATGTGTCTAAATAATCATAATAAAAATGCTCGAATATAGGGACAAATGTTATAATCAGTGACATGATTTATTTTTTGTCATGAGAATTGGCTTTTGTAGAACATCTTGTATATTTGTTTGTCTTGTATAAGGTGCTGTATTAGTTATCCTAATTTGGTAATCAATGGCCTAAGTGCCAACATTTATATGAATACAAATTAAAGATCTTTTTACTAAATTGTAAGAAAAACGTGTCTCTAAAGGGATTCTATCCTGTAAACTCTCGCCATCAAGATGATTGTCAAAAGAAAAATAATTTCAGTGCTCGATTATTATTATTATTATTATTATTATTATTATTATTATTATTATTATTATTACATGTTTAATTTCTGTTTATATCGATTATTTTTTAATTTACCAGAGTGTTTAAGAATTCAGCTCATAAACTTGATTTCTCAGTGCATAATTTTCCAAAAGCAAGTCATTAAAAATTATATATAAATATCTTGCATACCATCTACATTTAATGAGGAAAACTGAAAGGCTACCAGTCAGGAAGCTAAGCTTTATTGATACAACAATTATACATTATAAATTGAGATGCAAGTTCAGCATGGTATTTATTGTTATGATAGAAAATAAATTTATCAAAACGACGTGAGCAAGTAGGCTAAAATATGATATTAATATATTAAATAACGGAAATAGAAATGAGTTTAAAGTAATCTAATAGATTATAACTTGACATACATTTAAACATTCTGGCATGATATAATCTTTCAAGCATTACAATATTATTACAATAACGAACATTCTTTAATTTGATACACGTTTCCTATTTCAAAATATTTTTTGCTGATGGATTAATATCGCTTCTGTATTTACTGTATTTGTTGTGGCATTGTAATATCACTTGGAAAATCTAGTTACTAATACCTCCACGATCACGATAGCTGTTTAGAGTTATCAGTTTTTACAGGCATCGTTATAATATAATAACATATTATAACAGATACTCTGCCATTTATATTATCCTATTACCGTTGCGATTAAACTATCTACCTTAGCATAGACCAGTCTATGCATCTTTATTTTTGTATTTAAACCAAATGTATGACATTATTAATTAACAAGGCAAATTGTATTGGGCGTCGTGAGGTCACGGTAAAAGTAACGATTATGAATAGAACAATTAAGTCATAAATATTATAATTGTCAATATGATTAAATTTGTATCAGACTTATCCTCACGAGTACGAGTATAATTTAATATGCTTACATTATTGTTATGAAGGAAAACGAATCTTGAAGGTTTTTATAGTGAGTAATGATAAGAGAAATAAGATTGTTGTGTCAACTTTGTAAAGAAATTACTTTGACCGTCATAAGGAAGATGAAAAAAAAAATAATGAAGGTGGGCAGTCACTGCGTCGTACGAACGTCAGCCGACGAATCCAACTCCGCTCCCTGTGAGCGCTAGACGACGCGACGCCGTCTGCCGATTTTCGGTGGCAGTATGAACGGATCGTCATTAAAAACGATCCGTTGCGCGCGTGTTGTGGTGTTGCGTTCTCCATAGAATCGTTGCGTCAGCCGATGACCATCGGGCGCAAAGACTGCCACCCGGCTTTAGGCTTATGTTTTATCTCATAAAAGGTAATCGTGGTAGTTGGATAGATATTCTTAAAACAAAGGAACATGTTAAGAGGCGTGAGTTTATTAAAAGTAAACACACACCTAACCTAAGCATCCAAGTCCATAATATGGACTTGGATGCTTAGGTTAGGTGTGTGTTTACATATTATGTGATTGATTTCTATCTTTGAATTTTCATAAATATTTTATTCTCTGCTCTTTATGCTAACACAACAATATAAAAAGTAAATCCTTGGCAAATCACGAGGGCTCATAGGTTGGAGCTTAACCCCAATTTCTGTTGCGTAAAGTGAATGGGAATGTGATGCTCCCCTGGGTGAGTCTAGTCCACCACAGGTTACTTCAACCAATTTTCTGGTACCTAGTGATACAGCTGGGTAGACTGAGCAAAGTAAATAATGCGAAGGACTGAAACCCGACTTTAGAGTTGATGGGAAATCAAACAACATAATTTTATGCCTATTCTATGGAGTAGGTGTCTCTCTTTTATTTAACTGTTTTGTAACACCATCGTCGGCATTATCAATGATAAAAAATATCTAAAGCTTTGACATTAACAAACGGTTAATAATTGACATTTTTTGCAGGCAAATTATTTTAAAGTATACTTCAATTCCATTGACTGAATACGTGTTCTATATTACATCCTTGTTAATAAACCTTTGAAGTATCCGGAAACAGCTTAATATAGTATGTCATAATTCAGAAATGATGACCAAAAAGATCGCATATCTAATAGTTTCGCTTTAATGAAATGTAGTCGACAACTTCCCAATTGACATATCAAATCAGCTTACGTTTAGTAGTCTATAGAACACGGCCATAGGCGATTTGGAGCCCTTACCATCGAGCTCAAGTGATCTACGCAATCAGCGTCATGTTATAGTGCATAGTCTTTGACCCCAATACAATATTAATTGTAGCTAAAATCAATTCTGCTCACACAAATAGATTTTATTACTTCGTAATGATGCGTTTGGTAATATAAATCACAGAAATCATGTTCATTGATTAATAACCTTCTCATGTAATACAAAATGGGTATAATTCAAATAAATAAAATAAAAAAAATCTGTTTTGTATCTAAAGAACAGAATATCCGTAACACAAGTCCATATATTTTCAGTGGCGGATTCAAAAAGGAAAGGAGGGGGTTGGGGAAATAAGTTCTGAGGGTGCTAGTTCCTGGCAAATGGAGGTGTCATAATCATAAGTTGCCTCAGTCACAACCATGGTGGGGCTGATTTTGACAGACCCTCCATCTGTGAAAGTTCATCCTGGTGCCCTCTATTCCAAATTCCTGGATCCACCGCTAATACAGTATTAGCATTTACATTTTTAGATATCTGCTTTACACCATGCATCGAGGAATTTTCTTGCATTTTCATTAAGGGTTCGGTTAGTTCTACAATCGTACATTTTCAAATTCCTGATTTCACACTATTGGTTTTTTTTCAGTTTTCGGTTCCTACATTTACCATGCTTAAACATCATCATCGCTATTATCATTATCATCATCATACAATCAACAACGTCGTCATAATAATCATCACCATTATTATTATCACTATTGGCATTATCAGCTTCTTCTGAATTCAATTTATAATTTGTAGGTATAATTGAACAGTGTTATTATTATTTATCTATTTGTTTATATTGCGTTCACGGTGCTACGCAGCGTACCTTAATTGATTATTATTTACTATGATTTCCAAGCTGCGACCTATAAGCTTTTCTTGCTTATCTTTATAGCTCCACTATGTGTGAGCG